TATCTTGTTCTCTCATTGGCTGTAGGTCATCGCCGATGTGTTTTTCAGAACTCATTTCACACAGCGTGATCGTGAATCGCCGACAGCTCCAGATATTTAGCATGCCAAATATTTCACGGGCGTTGGCGATGCATCGGCGATTCCTTCAGATCGCGTCTTTGATAATTCACACTGCGTGATTGTCACTCGCGTGAACGAGCACCGATCTGCCTCCGATTTCGGGCATTTGTCTGCGATTTCGCAAAACCTGTCTGCGAGTGAAAATCGGGCTAAAATCGTGCAGTGTGAACTCGGCATAAGAAACTATCTCCTGGTTTCACAGACAAGACTTAAGCCTACCCCCAGACTAAAATGCATGTCTGAGCTGTATTAACTGCAAGAAACTTGCACTGACATATCTTAAAATATGTCAGTGCCATTGGTTTGCCTCAAGGTGCACACCAGTGATGTTGTTTTTTTCCCCCCTAATGCCGAGTTCACACTGCACGATATTAGCCCGATTTTTCACTCGCCGACAAATGCCCGACATCGGAGGCAAATCGGTGCTTGTTCATGCGAGTGACAATCACGCAGTGTGGATTATCAAAGACGCGATCTGAGGGAATCGCCGACACATCGCCGACGCCTGCAAAATATTTGGCATGCTAAATATCTGGAGCTGTTGGCGATTCACAATCACGCTGTGTGAAATTAGTTCTGACTGAAAAACACATCGGCGATGACCTACAGCCAATGAGAGACCAAGATACAGGGCAGAGGGAAGTTCGGGGAGGAGTTATAGACCAGAATATCAGTATTTTAATAGATATATGAACAATTATATCATACAGAAACAAGCACAAACATTTGCTTGCCCAGCCACAACATCAGCATAACAGTTACTGCAAAATTATTTACCTCCAACTCTCTTTGCAGAACACCCAATCCCTGTTCCCTGCATCTCCCTCCTGCATAAACTGTTTTTCTTGTTCTCCTTGTAGCTGGAAATCAGCTCACAGACAATTTGCGGGCTATATATATATTTTTTTTTTAATAATTACAGTCTGGCTCGAGGTCTGACGCACGCGGGTTTTCGCGTTATTTCCTTATCACTTCTCGCGTGCGTTTTGTTGTAAAACGTAGTTTGCGGACCAGACAGAGCTGTCGGCATTTACCTCCAACTCTCTTTGCAGAACACCCAATCCCTGTTCCCTGCATCTCTCTCCTGCATAATCTGTTTTTCTTTTTCTCCTTGTAGCTGGAAATCAGCTCAGACAATTTGCGGGCTATATATATATATTTTGTTTTAATAATTACAGTCTTGCTGGAGAACTCCGGTCTGACGCATGCGGGTTCTCGCTTTAATTCCTTATCAATTCTCGCGTGTGTTTTGTTGTGAAATGTAGTTTGCGGACCAGACAGAGCTGTCGGCGATTCTTCCTATTGTGAAGTCATGCAGTGTGAAACCCCCTGTCGCCGATCCATCGTGCAATGTGAACACAGCAGCAACTGAATGCTACCCCAGATAGTCACGCAGTGTGAAAACAACGGCGATCCGACGAGTTTGAAAATCGTGCAGTGTGAACTCGGCATTAGGCACATTTATAAAAGCAATTTAAGTGTCCTAATCGAACAATAACCTAGCCCTGGCCTAATCCTTGTCTGTGAAACCTGGCCTGTAAATAAGACAGATTTTTGACAACATTCATTACAGTGCAGTCACAGCCAAATTACAGTAAAACTATAATTTGGCTGTAATGAATGTAAAAAATGTGTCCTATTTATCTTTTCTTAACTCTTACTGACATTTCAAAAACTCCCACAAGCCTAAATAGACATGAAAGCCACCAACCAAATCATGAAATGACACTCAATTCTTTTAAAACTTAAACTCCTTGTAATCAGTCAACAAATTAGCTAGCATAAAAAGCACTTAGTAATGATTATTTGAAGTTAAAATTAGCCTAACTGTCCTGTTTAATAAATATGACAGTCATGTAGAACATCTCAAGCTTTGTTCACTCTGTAATTATTTATGTCACTTAATACATGATTGTGTTCCTTGAAGGCATGTGCAATGATATATCTACAAGACTACACATTCCAGGCAGTTTGGTTGGCCGATTGAGCTGACAATCTATTTATTCGCACTGTTGGGGGACTCGCAAGAAATACATTCTGATTGGATAAACACTAACACTTGCCAAGCCAACACAATCAGGTTTGGAAAGCGACCAATAATACATAATCAAATAAAGATAAAAGAGATTTTTTTTTAGACCTGTTAAGAAGGCTTTGCTGGTCCTGAGAAGTTCACCATGAAGTCAACAGTAAAACGGTTTACAAAATAGTGCGTAATAAATAGTTTGAAATAAAATGGTTACAAAAAAATTCTTAAAATCAAAGAAGTACCTGTAGGAATAAATTTCAGCATCCAGTGCCATTTTGACATTGAGAAGGTCCTGGTACTCCCTCAGATGACTGCTCGTGTCATATTTGGCATTTTTCAGCTCAAACTCCAACTCTCTGATTGTGTCCTGCATCATGGATTGCATTATGAAAAAAGCCACATGACATGGTACTGAATGTTGAGAATTGCTGTATCGTGCTCAACAGAACTGTGCAATCAATTGGTTTAAACAGAACTGTTCAATCAATCAAATTTTTTTTTTAAGTATTCCTCATACTGAATGAGGAAAATATTCTAGACTGAACAGTGCATGACATGGTGTCTTACCTGGTAGTGATGGATTTCAGCATTGTGCCGTTGCTCGAGGTCATACAGCTGCCTCTCCAGCGCTTCCCTCACACCTTTCACAGAGTCGAGCTCAATGTTCTTGGACTGGAGCTGTCTCCTGTGTTCATTAATCTCTGCTTTAGTGGCCATGAGGGCTTCTCTGTTGACCTCAGCAGCTTTGGTCAGTTTAGCGAGCTGTGCTCGAAAGCGTTCCTCAGCATCTCGGATGTCAGAGTCCGTGTGACCTTCGAGTTGCATCCTGATGTCTCTCAGAGCTGCAGTGACATCCCTTCTACTAAAATCACTTATTTCTGCTGTCACGTGACCCTCTTGGACTTGGGCCATCATTTCGGCTACCTCGCTTTCATGGTTTTTCTTCAAGAAGCGTATCTCCTCTTCCAGAGCTTTAGCTTTTCTGTCCATCTCTTGTTTGGCTAGGTATGCGTCTTTGATGCAATTCTTTAGTACTGAAACGCTGTCCTCTGCATCACCTCGACCACGAGCCTCTCTCTCATACTTTTCTCTCAAAGTGTTAAACTCTTCCTCCAGGTTCTGGCGGTTTATCTCAATTTGATGCTTTTGAAGGCCTATCTCATGAACTTGCTGCCTCAGACTACTAAGTTCTGATTCATACTCTTTGGACAGAGAGGCAGAGGATTTTGCTCTCTGTCTAATGGCCTCAGTTTCTTTCTCTAGCGCTCTGTTTTGGTTTTCCAGGTGATGAACCTTCTCGATGAATCCCGCGAAGCGGTCATTGAGCCCCTGCAGTAATTCTTTCTCACTAATTTTCCTCAGATTCTTTCCACCTGCATATTTGTTTGAAAAATCGAAGCTTTCGGCCGGTTTAGCGGCGAACTCGCTAAGGATTGCATTACCTCTCAGCGGTGCTGTGGACCCAAAGCTAAAGGCAGACTTTGAGGTGAGTTGTGATGAAGGACGTGCCGTTTGGTACCGGTACTCTTCCCGTGTCCGGCCAGATGAATGAAGGACACGCTCCATTGTGAGGCTGGTGCGTTTTCCTCTGCAGCGTTAGTGAAAATGATTCCCTTTTATATACTGCAATAGATGCTAGGTTAGCGGAATGGAGCTGCCCATACTGGATAAATGCACAGAATCAGCTGTTCAGCTCAGCATCCTGCGCACTCGCTCACTCGCGCCTCCTCCGCGGATCTCCAGGGAGCAGACGCGGCGTCACATGAACTCCTCTCGTCCGCAGATTCCCAACTCATATTCTGCTTTAAAATAGTTTTAGTTGGCGAAGCTAGAATACACATATATTGTGAATGTACAGAAAACGGCGCTTTAATGCCATTTATTTCACTGTCAAATTCAGAAATTCTGGAAAAAAATTAAATAAATCTCGAGCCTTTCCATTAAAATCAGTAGCCTATCCGAGGAACACAAACATTAAGTCCTGTAAATATTTATTTAAATATTACTTTTTATAACAATCAAGTAATAATGTAATTAGTTTATTAGTAACAAAGTAATTCACATTTTTATGTGTTATTGATTATTTAAATATCTCAAGCTTGCTCCGTATAATCCCCCTGCTTATTAAAATGAAAGTATAATGCAGTCTAATGTGTACAGAAATATCAGCATTACATTCTCTTTATATTGAAAACCTTGTAGTGTCATGACTGAAGGGGGGGGTTATTTTAAGACCCTAAAATAACTCACAAGGTTTGTGTGTGTTTCTTGAGCTCCAGATAAAGCAAAATTCCTGCAGCTAATTGAAAAAATTAGCAATTTAGCTTGTATTTGCTGCATATTTTAAATAAAAATGACAAAGTAAACAAGTTATTGCTTAGTTCCACTTAAATAAAGATGCTGCACTCTGCCCAGTTGTCATGTTAATTTATCAACATAATTCATCATATTTTAGACGTTGGAACAACTAAAACCACTGATAATGTTCAATATTTCCTTCAATTCAGATACAGCAGTGCATCATAAAGTGGCATAAAGGGAAAAAAATAATCATGAAAAACTGCATTACATAACTGCTTACAATGTGTGTACAAATTGAGGTTTAACTTGAAAAGACACATAAAGACTATATTATGTTAATGTCTTTACACAGATGTCTGGTTGTCATCTACCTGACAATTAATTGATTATAATACATTTGGAAAAACAGATTATATAAAAAAATAATACATTTATATTATTTTATTTAACTCTGCTAACACTCAGCGGATCAAAAAGGAAATTTTTGCTATGGTCATTACATGAGAGAAGATTACGACTGGAACTTGAACAGAGATTAAATGTATCTCTCCTAATCATCTTTGTTCTCTGTTCTAAAGGAATGAAAGAACGTCCGGATCTCATATGTGTCCCGTCTGTCATGCTGAAGGACTTTCCTCAATCTGTTTTTGCATGCGATCCATTCGGTGGACACTCGCCCCAGCATCATTCCTTGTTTATAATGCTCAACCGCAGCTCTCTCTGAGCCCAACCTGTACTGTTTGAAATCCCCATACATGCGATGCCAGGCTTGACGGTCAGCTGGCTTCAGGTCAGGAAGGGCAAACAGCTCAGTGAACTTCTGCTCTGCTTTAGCCATCTGCTTTTGTTCTGCATACCTCAGCGCTAACTCCAGTCTTGGGTATATGTAGCCTGGGTTTAAACTGGTACCCTTCTCTAAATGCTGAATGCAAAGGCCCAGCAACTCTGGATTGTGTATGTCATTCATCTGCATGGCTTTCCAGCGGTAGTTGTTGGCAATCTCATGATGTAACCGTGACGAGTCTGGCACTTTCTTCAGCATTTCCAGCAACACTTTCAGGGCCTTGTCATAAAACTGCTCTTTCTTCATGAACTTTGCAACATGCAAAACAACGCTGAGGTTATCTGGAGCCATCCGTATTCTAGATTAAAAGCCTTCACTGATATAATTACAGCATATTTATAGTAAAATTGTTTCTATTATTGATGTAGAGCTGCTTATTTTATTTACTTATTGATAGAATTATTAGTCACATTATGAAAACAGATACAAAGTCTTATTACCTTCTACAAATCTCTGATGTAGGTCTTTCTAGAAAACTTGAGAAGCGACCAGGCTTTTTCGCTTTGAACTTCTCTGTGAAGCTCTGTTGGAGACGGAGCAGGGAAAGCTCTAATGATTTCATTTGACTTTCTCTGTGTAAGTCTCAGCCTCAGTCACATTGCCCATGAAACTGTGCACCCAGGCCAAGTTTCCATATGTCACAATCACATTGCTGTCATTGTCCGGATGTTCCTCAGACATTCCTGTATTGTTTAAAATGCAAAATAGATGCAAATGTTTAAACTCTTGAAGTTTTCCTTTCTCAGTTTCCTTAAATCCGTAAAGTATAGTATATCTGACTGACAGCTTATTTTTTTTATATGACTTACAGAAACAAACATGGGTTATAGGGAAGGTTAGGTTCCCTAATTTTGGGAAAGTTTCACTTTCCACCTATTGTTCTGATTAAGGATAAACGAAACTGTAAGTGTACAACGTCAACATTACAACAATAATGTAATACTGCTTCAGTTTATGAGTGCCAGTGAACAATTCTTGATCAGATAAGGGATATGTAAAATTACTATCAGCGACATTAAAATGTATTTAATAAATTCGCTGATATAGCTACTTTGATCTGATAAGTTGATCTTACAAAATCAGTTGTGACTGTAACTTTAAATATCAATGAAATATTGTAAAGTACAAAAAAATGAGGAAATTTACAAATAATCATGTTGCACACAGTACTCACAACAAATAATTAAGTTGCACACAGTTGAGTAAGTAGCCTACTAGCAAGTCAAAAGAGGTTTTCGCACAGGACAAAAAACTTGAAACCGAAGAGTAAGGACGCTATCTAGTGGAGGGACTTTATGGCGCTGCATTGCTTTAGAGTTGTAAAAATGTTGAATTAGCTTGCAAAAAGATAATTATTATTATAACTTTTTCATAATAATGAGACTTAACAGCCTTTGCTACAATGTTTATTTTTCAGCTTAATAAAATATATTCATAGTTTTCTTGGCCACAGGTCTTTTTTTTTTTTCATGAACACCAGACAGTTCTGTTGAAAAGTTATTTGTGACCCTGGACCACAAAACCTGTAATAAATATACAGGTAAAAAAGGCCATTTGTGCAGTATATTCTACTGACCTCTAGTGTTAGTGTGTGAAACTACACATAAATATATCAAAAATCATATTAACATGTACAGTAGTTTACCCCCCCCCCTAACAATCATAATAATAATAATCACAATAATCTAACACATTTCTGTCAATACATTTGTGAACTCCTTTGTACAAATAGTCAGATGTTCTTGCTTCCTTTGAAACACAAGATGAAGCACAAATGTGTGAGAAGTATTAAAGTTAAAGATTTACTGTTTGTAGCAGATTTTATTTATTATTATTATTATTATTTTTTTTTTTTTTTTGAGAATTTGATTTTTTTTCTTTTTGTGAATTGTATTGAATCTAATTAGTCAACAAAAATCATACCCATAATTCGTACATAATACAAGGATTAAAAGAGAATGCAATGCAACTTTTGAATACTGCTGTACACTTTTATTTCTTGCATAACTGTTTTTAAAAAATATATTTTATGTCATGATTTGCTTATTTTATTATTTCTGGTGTCACATGTCCTAAAGGTGTTTTTCTACCCACCAGTCATAGTTTGGTCAGCACTGGGTGGTCCCTCAGAGAGTTATTGACCACATACTGCAGCAGAGGAACATCTCCTGTGTGACTCTTGCTGATCAGAGCAGACTGGCAGAGTCCTACACATAAAGTGAACAGACATCAGGTAACAGTATTAACATTGCTGGGGAAACAAAAGCACACGTAATTTCAGAATAGGAGAGCCAACAGTATCATTACACAGTATTTGTAGAGCTGGTTTATCAGGGTAGCATTTACCTGCTGCAATATCTCAGCTTATTACAACACTCATTACCATAACATTAAACAGACTTTAAAAATTTGTCTTTATACAACTTCTAGGCACCCAATTTACTTTAAGCAATGAGAAGCATGCTACCATCTGGCCAAAACACCCCAAAATGTCAAGTAATTACATTTATCAAGCAATATATTTTAATGCATTTGTATTTCGAAGTCAAATGACTGTTACTGAATTTTTACCTATGTGAACATAACTAGTCATAATGAAAGCCGCCATAAACCTACTTGTTAATACCAAGAGGAGGCAAATAGTAGAAAGCATCTAAATGTCAGGAGCCAGGCTTAATCAACAGAAACAGGAGACAAGTGCAACTGTGATGTGTGCAAGTGAGACTTTATTTCGAATATTTAAGGCAGAAAGTCCATGTTTTTGTTTGTTTGTCCCCCTCAGATAAAAGGAGGCGAGGCTACTGTTTGCATGATATTGATTTTTATCAAAGTTTACCATACAAGTACTTTTGTTCAATGGCTGTTGGGAAAAGCATGATAATACACTGAATAGAAAGCTTAACACAATCTAGATAGAAAATTGGGGAGAATGACGTATAATTTGCAAAGAGCTGAGATTTTGAGACCGTTCAGGAGGCTTCCAGGCTGGTTTAACTTCATTTCCAATGCCATCAGATTTCAGTGGCATATAGCCTACTCTTCTCATTTACTGTAAATTCAAGTTGCTGTTTCAAATACTGTAGCCTACCTTTATGAATGGTAAAATTGCACAAAAAATCCCTTTTGCCAATATTTGCCAAGAAGCTACTGATTATCATAAATTTTTGTGCTCAAGTTATTGAATATTTTATCAGCGTGAAGATTCCAGCATGAGGACCTTGCTTTACCACACATCTTATGATGTTGTAAAGTAAGTAATCAGTATACACAAATAGCAATTTTCACTCAGAAATTGCTTGTAGATTTTAACAAACAATTACAAAGAAAAGTAGTAGAAAAACTGAAATAGTATTTTCTTGTAAAATGTACTTTAATAATCTTTGTTTTATGTACAACTTTGTGTCGTATGTTCTCTCAACAACAGATGTCACACAACAGTACTTAAAATAAAATAAAATAGTTATTTGATTTTTTATTTTATTTTATCCTATTTTATCCATGTCATTAAAGTAAAATCACTTTCCATTTTACCTTTAAAAATTTTAGTATTTGTTTTTAGTTTTATATATATATATATACACATCTCAATATAGTTCTTCTTTAATTTTAGTTTTAGTTGTAGTTATTTTAGTAAATCAAGTTAAACTAAATGAAAATGAGAAATATTTCATTGGAAACTAACTGAAATAAAATGTTTACTTTGTGTATATACTTAATTTTATTCCAGTTAACATTTATTTTATTTCAAGTAACAAAGTGTTTTTTATGCTTTTACTTATATAGCAAATGTAAATGGAGGTGTTTTTAATACACATACTGTAATGCACTGTACTGCTCTCAAGTGGCATACTTAAAATAAAATAAAATAGTTATTTGATTTTTTATTTTATTTTATCCTATTTTATCCATGTCATTAAAGTAAAATCACTTTCCATTTTACCTTTAAAAATTTTAGTATTTGTTTTTAGTTTTATATATATATATACACATCTCAATATAGTTCTTCTTTAATTTTAGTTTTAGTTGTAGTTATTTTAGTAAATCAAGTTAAACTAAATGAAAATGAGAAATATTTCATTGGAAACTAACTGAAATAAAATGTTTACTTTGTGTATATACTTAATTTTATTCCAGTTAACATTTATTTTATTTCAAGTAACAAAGTGTTTTTTATGCTTTTACTTATATAGCAAATGTAAATGGAGGTGTTTTTAATACACATACTGTAATGCACTGTACTGCTCTCAAGTGGATGACAGATTGTCTATGCAAACTCTCAGCGAGAGCATGCTAGAGCATTTCTGGCTTGTTTGTGCAAGACCCTGTTGTGTAGTTCAGAGAGTGTTCATTTCAATATTGCCAACTTAATGAAATGCACTTTAATTGCCAGTCTTTGCAGTAATAGGCATGCACGTTGCCCCCTGGAACACTGCCTCCCACACAAAGTAATGAACTGAAAGTGTAAGTGTGTCATATGGTAAAACTGTTTACTTCATCTCATTACTGGCGTTTCAAATTGCACATTTGTCTGTGTGTGTTTGTGTGAGAGTGTGGGTTTCACAATGAGAGAACCAGAGCACAATGCTCAGAAGAACGCAATCCCAGTATCAGAGACTGGGTGGTGGGGCATTCTCAAAGGAGAGGCCTACTTCCTCTGTCGATTCGTTAATTAGGTATGCACGGATGCAAACAGATCTCCCTGCCCACACATAACTCATCAGCAGTGAAATATGGGGCATGACTACCGCTGTCTTTGAATCTTGCTCTTGCTGTTTAATGACAAGAAGAGATGCCTGTAAATAACAGTTTAAGTCCGCTTGCTGAAAATCAGATGCCGTGTTCTCGTATCATCTTCTCCCATTGCTCCGGGAAGCTTATGTGACGCTAATTGTTCCTGCTACTTGTGCCAAGTACCCACAGTTCTCTGACACAATCTACAGACAGGGCCCGGTCCCTCGGCTGCTCTCAGTGTCTGTTTAAGGACTGAAAGGATGCGTCTTGCCATCTGTGGAGAGCGCTTCTCTTCCTGTTCCCGGCCCTGATTGAATTTGCTCTTCCTTTGGCTGTCAGTGCATCACCTTGATATATGCTCACAAACCCTCTCAGAGGGCTCGAGTAAGCAATACAAAAAAAAAACGAACCTCTGCTACTGAAAGAAAAAAGGAAAATACATACAAAACTGTTAACATGAAACAAAATAATTCAAGAGGTTGCTCCTTTGTTTTCTTCAATTGTAGCAAATAAATAGAGCTGTATTTAAAAAAAATGCATTACTATTATAAAAGAGCTGTTGTGACTGTCTTCTCATTTGCATTTAGAGGTGGCTGCCTAATATAGATAAAATCCACTTACATTTTTAAAAAATAATTAGCGCACAACAAAATTAGGTAACTTGTGTAACCCAACAATAAAGTGATATGAATCATAAAGTATACAGTTGCAGTAAATAGTTTTTGTGTGTGTATTTAGAATCTGTGTGTGTGTGTGTGTGTGTATATATTATACACACACACACAGACAGGATTTAGTATTTATTATTTTTATTATTATTATTTCTTGAAGCAGGGAATGCGGTACTTGCTTTCTTGCAGCAAGTGGCAGTGTTGTCTACATAATGTTATGTTTAGACTGCAGTTTGCCATTGCCTGCCTGAAGAGAAAGTGTAAAATAACTGTAATATAGTGATCAAAAAGACAAATTTACCTCGATGATGAGGTACCTAAATGTTGTAATTGTATAATAATAATAATAACATTATTATTATTATTATTATTATCATCTTCATTATTATTTTCTGAGTAATTAGATGTGGGAATGTTTTCATTTCAATTTTAACAACAACAACAACAACATTATTGTTATTATTATGATTATAATGATGATTATTATTAGCTTTGTTTTGAAATATCTGTGCTGAAACCCTGAGGCCACAGTACAAGGTTTCTGAAAGTTATTTAACAGTTAACACAAGGTCATAATTTTACTTTTGTGTTTGATTTTGATTATGCACTTATGTGTATTAATTTTTTTCTTAACAAAAAAAGGTAACTAGAATAGAAGTAAAGCTTTCAAGCAAGTAAACAAAGAATGCAACTGAATGCCAGTTGAAAAGTGTCATGATGAGGACTTCAGATATAAGCTGGTACAATTATATTTATATATATATATAT